ACAGGGCGGATGGCCTGCTGCACCGACTGCAGCGTCTGTGAGTCCCTTGGGCGATGCCGTCCCTCGGGCGATGCTGTCCCTCGGGTGATGCCGTCCCTCGAATGATGCCGTCCCTCGAGCCATGCCATCCCTTGCGCGATGACGTCCCTTGGGTGATTCCATCCCTTGGGTGATGCCATCCCTCGGGCCATGCCATCCCTTGTACGATGCTGTCCCTTGTACAATGCTATCCTTTGGGCGGTGCTGCCAGTGCCATCCCCTTGGGTGATGCTGTCCCTTGGGTGATGCCGTCCCTCAGGTGCCAGCAGTGACCTGCTGCGGTTGGTCCCGCTGCTCTCTTAGGATGCTTCTCTCCCCTCTGCTGCTTGGGTGGGCAGTGTGATACCTACAGCCCAGTGCTCCCAGTTCCCCCTCCGGTGCCGGTGGTGCCGGGCGGGAAGAGCCTCACCCTCCGCTGTGTTTCTCCCCTTGCCAGGCTGCTGCGGAACTTTCTGCTTCCCCTGCCTGGGCTGCCAGGTGGCCGGGGACATGAATGAGTGCTGCCTGTGCGGGACCAGCGTGGCCATGAGAACCCTCTACCGCACCCGATACAACATCCCGGTCAGTGGGTCACCCACCCCTCGCCATGCTGCTTCTCTGAGCCGAAACGAATGCTTTGGGAAGCCGACATCCCTAACCCATTTCCTCCTGACAGGGGTCCATTTGCTCTGACTTCTGTATCACCATGTGGTGCCCCGTGTGCTCCGTTTGCCAAATTAAGAGAGACATCAACCGGAGGAGGCAGATGGGCATATTCTGGTAAACTGGGCGTGCTCGAGCTGGGTTAGAAAGCCACCACCGCTGCCACATGAGCCAAGTGGCCAGGCCAAGCTGGATGAGGCTTTGAGCAACCTGGGCTAGTGGGAGGTGTCCCTGCCCATGGCAGGGGGTGGCACTGGATGATCTCTAAGGTCCCTTCCAACCCAAACCCTCCTGGGATTCCTGGAGTCTCTCCTTCTGCCACCACCTGACATAAGGCACAAGGTTGTTGCAGTGGGGACAGGGCACTGGATGGGTGACAGCAGTGGCCTGTCCTGTAGCAAAATCTTGCTGGGAACCTCATGCAACACCGGGGGCAGGACTGGGGGACACACACACGGCATGGCGAGGCATGGCCCCTCTCCCTGACCCTCTTCTCCCATACCATTGCAGATGCCGCCGTCCTCGCCGTGCCCCGCGGAGCCGCTGTGGACAGGCGTTGGCGCTGCCCCAGCTGGTGGGAGATGCACCGCGGAGGGTTGACTTGGTTGTGGTTGATTCCCCCCTCCCTGGGTGACACGAGCAATAAACAGCTGAGTTTGCTTTCCTACCTGTGTGTGTGTCACCCTTTTTAGTGCCTGAGAGTGCCCATCCTCCTCCCCATCCATCCATCCATCCATCACTGCAGCCCCTGGTGCAGCTGAGATTTCCCAGCTGCAGAGAAAGATCTTCCCGAGTATTTTGTCATTTGCTCAGCACTCAGAAAGGATGTTTAATACGTGGGAGGAGTCCTATGTTGCTCGCCCAAATTGTAAAATTTGGAAAATGTTACAGCAGAGCTGAGGCTGGCTGCAGGTGGGTGATGGGTGCGGGCCACCCAGTTCCAAATGGAAAGAGCTGACCTGGAGCAAGAAGGGACGAGCTTCTGGGGGAGCCCTCACCTCTATCCTGGGCATGATGTACATGATATGGAACAGACCATTGGCCAGTCTGGGTCTCAATCCCAAACCTAAGATCAAATCCCAGGCTGGTCACTGGGGCTGTGCTCCCTCCCAGCTCCTCCTGCCCCTGCAGACACGGGCACAGCAGAGA